ACACTCCCCACAGCCCACCCCACACTCCCCAGCCCACCCCACACTCCTGGCAGCACTCCTTCACTGTCAGGATAAGCAGTCTCTAAAAGCAAGTAGCTACTTCATGCAGGGTCTCAGCCAGCTGGAGTGCTCATGTTTTTCAGACTAGAAAATGTCCTAATATCTTGAATAACTGAATTCCCTGTGATCTTCTATATTACAGAAAACTTCCAAACGCAATTAAACATTTCTTTGCTCATTGTTGCACTAAGATTGGGCAGGGAGAAGTCCCCATAGACAGCAGGTCTGAGGTAAGTCAGCTCTATGCAAAAAAAAAAAAAAAAAATTAATTAAAACCCTATTGCTTATTTTGTATCTGAAGCTTGCTAATGGGAAAAGCAAAGAAAAAGAAAAATAGAGTGTTCTTTTAAAATATTTGCCATAAACCTTCAGGAATAAAACTAACAAAGGAAATAAATAACAATTAGGAAACATTTGTGTGGTTTATCTATACTTCAAGGAAATGTAAAGGCGCATACTTGTTTTTCACTGTCTGTTCTAGAGAAACACCCTCTGCATCCAATGCAACTGTATCAGAGTGTAGACCTGTCCCTCGATGAGCTAACACCTCACACCTGCTCTCAATGGTGAATCCTTAGCACACATCCACAACAGCTGCAAAAGGTGCTGATGTGGAAATGGTTCTCAGGTACCTGTGGAATGACAAGCTGGAAATAATGCATACCATTTAATGAAAAAATATTGACCTATAATTATCAATAATAGCGGATTATTTTTATACCTGACACTATCCTAATAACTTTGCACGTGTCTATTCTTTAATCTTCCAAATAGTCCTGTAGATTAACAAGTTTTTATGTTTACTTTACAGGTGATGAGATTGTTTTCTGATTGGACTTGAGGCCCTTTCTCCACAGGAAGAAACTTATGACCTGGTAATGGGAATCTGGTCAAGGTACCAGGGCCAGAGAGGCCCCAGGCCCCAGGGTCACTCCACTGCTGTTGTCGTGCTAAGTGGAAATGGTGTCAGCACCTTCTGAACACTGATGTTTATGTCCACAGAACGATGCTCTCAGCGTTTGCAGAGGTGCAGCTCTAAGGGCACTCAGAGCTCATCAAAGCGCCAAGAACAAAAGACAGTGGATTCCTAGCCCTAGCTGCATCTTTATCACACACACCCCAGCCCCCAAGACTCAAGGAAAATCAGAGGAAAGGGGGCAGGAAGAATGGAAGAGCTAAAGGATGAGGAAATAGACCTTGCCTCAGGACTCACTGCGGCTGTTGTTATCTGACACGTGGATGGGGAGGGGCCCGTGAGGTCACAGCCTTCCTTGAAAGACTATTGGTCATTAATGGCTGGGCGAGGAGGTGTCATTTTCCTCAGTGGTGTAGCCACTGCTAAGTGGTCCACCTTCCAGTAAATAATCTCCCACCCACGCTCATGTCAGTAATCTCAATTAAACTCTGTCAGTCAATTTGTCTGTCTGTCTGTCTGTCTGTCTGTCTGTCTGTCTGTTTCATACACACACATGAAAGTAGGAGGGTGACTTGAAAGAAAGGGTTTCAGTGGGTGAGATAATCAGGCATAAAATGACTAAAATTCATCGTATAGATGTATAAAAAGACAATAATTTAAAAATAAAAATTAAATTAAGAAAAAAAGAGTGGTTAAGTAGTTCAGTCCAGGTCCTTTGGTAAGGTAATAGGTGTGACCAATCATAAGTATTAAAAGTTAGAGATGGATAAAGCACCAAGAGATAGGTAGATGATTGAGAGAGACAGATAGGTGATAGCTACGAACATCTATCAGACATATAAGTACACAGAAAAATTCAGAAGAAACCTGCAAGATTAATAAAGTTGGCACTTGAACTGAGTGAGCTGGCATTGGAGATGGTAGTTTAGCTCTCTGCTCTCTAGGTTCTTTTCCACAGAGAAAACTTGAATTCTGTGCATGCAATCAGAAATAAGTAGCTTAAGGATATTTTAAGGGGCAGGTCATCAATAGACAGGCCACGAGAAAAATAAGTCAGGGACACCCTGTGACTGATGTGGCACGCTGGGCTGGGGACAAGAATTGGGGAAGCCATCTGGGAGGCCCTTCCCAGGCCAGGCAGGAAGGGCTGGATCAGAGTGGGCACAGAGACATGGAGGGGAAGGACTGGGGCCAGGGAAAGCATCACAGGAAGAAGAGCAGCACTGGCCACAGCTGGGGTCACTGCTCCTGGCAACAGGAACCCTGCTATGGAAGGAGAGGTGACAAACTTGAGCTGGGGCAGACACACACAGTTGGGGTGCTCTTAGAGAGGCCTGGTAGAGGTCTCCTAAAGACAGCTGGGGTGACACCTGGGCAGAAGAGAAGCTAGTTGGCTTTCTCCAGCAGTGTAACACAGCCACCTTCATTCCCAGAGCCTGTGTCCTTCTCCCTCCTCCTGCGCACTCACCGTGTTCTTCCGCGGCTGCGTGCTAGCAGCAGCTGCTCCATCCTGGGTCTTCATGTCCCAGTGAAAAACGGATTTAAACTGCTCACCATCCTCTTGGCCATTGATCTGCATACAATGAAAGCGTTTTCAGTAACACTTTCGACAGAGAAGAGAAAGCACTAAGTTGAGGCCATTCTCCCCAGTCCAGGCTGTGAGGCATCTTAGTGGAACTACAAAGCTCATGGCTTTATCAGCCCCACGGTGGTGGTTTCGTTTGTGCCACCATCCAGGTGCCATACACTGAACTCCTGCTGTGTGCAAGCTCTAGTGAGTGGTGCAATTTAAGAAGCTAGAGCTATGCCAGCCATGTGGCCCAGCCAGAAAAGGCATTTGCCACCAAGCCTGATGACCCGAGCTCAGAGCCAACACCCATATGGTGGAAGAAAAGAACTGAATCCCACAGTTGTCTTCTAACCTACACACACACACACACACACACACACACCCTGACACAAATGTTCCTACATACATACACACATGTAAATAAATGAATATGTAATTTTTAAAGATAAGGTAAGTTCTAGAAAGGCAACGTTGCATTTTTCTTGAAGAAAAAAGAGAAGAAAGGGGTCCCGCTAATGAACAGTTTATATGTACACACACTGCACACACCATACATCCATGCACACACTTACACATGGACACATCTATCCATGATAGGCTACTCACCGTACATGTGCACACATGTGCATCCATGACCTAAACTGTGCACTATGCACTAGACAGACACATACACACAGAAATATACATGTACACACACTTCCACAGACACGCCATACCTGCACATATCACACCACGTATGTATGTATGTGTCTATACAGCAGTGCACATAGCATGTGTCTGTATGTACATGGATGGCTTAGTCACACTTGCAGGCATGCATATACACCCTGCCCGTGTGAACATATGAAGATGTTCACATTGTCAGATAAATAGACACACTTGGGACTCTAAAAGAGAACGAGAGATTATCCTAGCATCCTGTCGTACTAGGTCTACAATACACACAAAAATGAGCCCATGATGCCCGGAGACGGGAACTCCTGTGCACCTTGTCATAGAACTGTAAGGAAGCCCTGTCAGACGAGGCTAGGGGAGGCTGGGAAATGCCAGACAGAACGGTTCTGTTTGTACAGAGCATGACACACACAGTGTTCTTAGAGCTAGTACTCCCTGTGCACAGCTGCAGAAACACCTGGATACAGAAGTTTCCATTTCTCTGACTTTTGCAGTTTGCCACCTTCTGCGTATAGACACACGAGAAGCAGTGATATGGCGTCCCCAGCCTGAGAGCTCTGCATTTGTACACTGTGATCCGGATGGAATCGTACAGGATGCATAATATCTTTGAGCCTCGGCTTCCTCTCCAGCAGAACAGGAGGAGAGTAGAATCTGCTCCCTGGGTTGTGATGTGTATGGAGTGAAGTAAGCAATTTCCAGTCAGCGCAACACACACTTGTTAAGTAAAAGCATATCACAGAGATCTCGGGGTGGTGGTGGTCCCGTAACAGCAGCTGTAGAGGATGTCGTGTAGAGAAGCACTGAGACGTTCTTAAGTGCAGGGCTGTGAATAGCAGAGGCAGTGGAGGGGACTCTGGGCTGAAGAGATCACTAGAGAGCCCTCCACCTGCTGGGCAATTCCTAACTTTAGAAACCTGCCTAAGTTCCATCCCACCGCGCGGTGTCCCCTGGGCCTGGTGAGACAAGGCCAATGATTCATCATATTAGTAGACGAAATGGTTCCAACAGCTGGACGGTGACACATGCGCACTGTTGGAGTTACGCACCAGCCGCAGCTGCCATCCCCACCTGCCAAAGCAAGCTTTGTTTCTCAAAATATCTCTAAGCTACCCTCCCCAAAGAGGGGTCGTGAGATTACAGACAGCTCTAAGTCACGACTCAGGTCAGGGGAGCCTTGGAGCATGGCCCGGAGAGTTTCAGTTCTCCACTCCAAGCCCTCCAGAAGGAAGAAAAGAAGTGCTCTTTGGAATAGTTTCAGCCCGGTAAAGTTATGTGTTACCTGCCTAGTGTATGCCAGGCCTATTATATAACGTGATACCACTGTGTGTCCTGGCTGGCCAGACAGGTGCTAGAATCAAAGGCCTGTATCGGCCGCTAGTGTGGAGATAGGACAAAGAGCAGCAATAGTCGCATAAGAGCACATGGCGCGTGTACGAGAGGGTGTGAATTAGTCCACATATAGACAGAAACATTTAAAAACCAACGGGTGTTTGAGCCCATGGATTTTCCCTACAGGTTATTTCAGAAGGCAAAGCTGAGTGACTTACCCCACCTGTGGCTGCCACAGACTTCTTCAAGGTTAGACTTAAGGGTGCGTGGTAGACACTAGTGAAAGTGTTGTTCTTAGGGTTATGGCTACAAAAGTAATAAGATCAAAATTAGAAAAGCGTGTTAGCCAAGGGGCGACTGACTTCCTGAAACAGTAGTCTCTTTTTAACATGGATGAGCACAAGACTCAAGAATTCGGCTCATGACTTCCCAGGGAATCACCCCTCGAACACTCAAACTAAGTAGGATCGACACATAGAACAGGCAGATGAGTTTTCACTAACGGCCACTTGAGAAGTTTCCAATAGAGTAGGATGAATCCGACATCCCTTAAGACAAATGCTTTAAAGCTCCATGTACACATGTCTTCGGCACTTCTGCTGATCTCATAGCTGGGCATGGTTACAGAAGTAAAGCGGGGCTTTCACTTATTAAAAATGTGAAAGTTATTGGCCACTGCCAAAAACCCCACCGAGCTCTTCGGTGACTAGATCTGAGTGAGCACTTTGGGAGGAGGTGCTGCTTGGAGTCTAGCCTGGAGCTTAGGAACTGATTCCTCGGTTGGCTACTTGTTGAAAAACAAAAGTCAGGCAGAGTCGAGTAGGGTATCAGACACTTACGCGTGACAGTACGGCTTTTTCTGGTGACTCACGAAGTTATTAACAGACAGCATCATCTTGCAGACTTCACAGTGAAAACATGCTTTATGCCATGTCTGAAAGTCACAGAAAGGATCGCACAATTAACTGTCTCACAGACTTTACAGTAAAAAGTTGAGACTTATGGATAAAATGAAGCTAAAATGTATGAACTGCACAGGAGTTGTTAAATATGTTAAAATGAAACATCCTTTTCTTGAAGCAGCACAGAAGTCTATGACTAAGAAGGGTAGGAGAACGCATCTTTCCTTATCACTCAGTATGAGTCCGCATGCAAGAGGGTAAATGTGCCAGGTTTGCCCCTTTCCCCGAAGACCACGGACCTGACCCACTGACCTGGTCTATGCAGCTGATCTTCTCTGCAGGGTAAACCCCATAGCCACACCTAGAGCAGGCCTGCACGTTCATCTTGGAGGGTGGGAGACAGGGAGAAGCAACAGGCAAGATCAACTATAACACCCGGTTGACTGCTCAACGCCTTCAAAACCCCACCACTATGAAACTCCCCGGGAGGCCTGGAGCCGTCGGAATCCAGCTTCGACTTTCCTACGCTGACCTTCTGCTTTGGAGTAGGCAGCTGGTTGGTTTTTAAAGCTGCCACTTACTCAAGGGACAATTTTGGCAGCTCCGTCAGCACGCATGCGCCTGAGACAAGGTGGAGGTATTTCAAGCTGACGTGCTTCTCAAAATAGAAAAGTTAACTCAAGGCAGCATCATGTTTACATGGACAGACAAATCTTGTGTGTGTGTGTGTGTGTGTGTGTGTGTGTGTGTGTGTGTGTGTGTGTGTTCGGTGTGTGTGTGTTCGGTGTGTGTGTGGTGTGTGTGTGTGTGTGTGTGTGTGTGTGTGTGTGTTCGGTGTGTGTGGTGTGTGTGTGTGTGGTTATGTGTGTGTGCAGTGTGTGTGTGTGTGGTTATGTGTGTGTGCAGTGTGTGTGTATGGTCAGATGCTTGGGCCTGGTGATTGCTAGCTGTGGTCATACTCCAGAAAAGGAGCCTGAAGAATAGCCATACCCTCATGTGGGAATCAGATTTAAAATGCTGACTGTAGAGCCTCTGACTAATGCAGGCAGGCCAGTCCCCAAAATGGGTGAATGAAGGAAAGAAACAAATGGGAAAGGACATGACTGCCCCTAGGTATGGTGCAGAAGAAAGTTTATTGTCGATAAAAGGAAGAACATAGTCAAAGGCAGGGCCATCTGAAGGAGTCCTGAGTGGATATGACCAGGCTGAGCTGGGCCATATGGGAAGAGGGAGACGGGAAATGAGAGGGGAGAGAAAAAAACAGGTGCAGCAAGAGGTCAGATGTCCAAAGTGTCTGGATTATATAGGAAGGAGCTTCTGGGGAAGAAGAGCCCAGCATGGAGGGTTCAGGATAAGGGAACAGGGTATGCCAGCCATACCCGGTAAGTGGTAGGGCCTGAGGAATGCTGGGAGTACCTCCAGGTCTGCTTGGATATGTTAAATAGACACCTTAGTTGTTTGCCAAGGTTTGAGATGTAACAATGGAGATAAATTAGGAAGAACAATATCAAATCTCAATTTTATCTATTTTGCAGTAACAAAATTATTATGACATTTGTGTTTAGCTTTCATTGGAATTCATATATATATGAACAAATAATAATGCTTGGGCTTCTACATCTTGTCCTAGAATATTCCAAAAACATCTCTTCTCCTGGCTTTGGGAAGTGTCCATTGCCTTTAGTCTCTGTTTACAGGCAACCTTTGACCTTTTGGGACACCCTCTACAAAATGACACCTCACATGTCCCCAATAGGATCTGACTGCTTTATATGTCCTCTACCTCCTGTTTGTCTTATGACAGTTACTGACACCTAGAAATGGTAAATATGAATAAATCTTCTTTCCAGAATTGTGCCACCTTCACAAAAATATAACGTTATGGTCCAGGTTGTTACAACTCCATGTCCCAGGGCCTAGAATGAGGCCTGTCCTTGGTGCCCACTAGAGCTAGAAAAGTAATGGCACAAACTTAATGCTAACATCAAAATGCCTACAGAGTCCACCCTCCTGGACTCCTCAGAAACCAGGAGACCTCAGATAGATGTGTAACTGTCCCACCCATAGCAGGAAACATGCACACCTCAGCCTTGTCAAGAGGGAACCAGTTTTCAGCATTGCCAATATTCTCATCTTTCCATGGAAGCCAGAAATCTGGATTTACACATGAGATTTCCTTTTAAAAAATGTAAATAGAACACTGGGAGTGAAAACTGTTCTTCAGGGCTGTGGTTAATGTGTGACCTTGGGCCTCTCCTGGAGTGCAGGCTGGGTGCGGGGAGGCCAGCCACAGGAGAGGAAGACGCTGCAAAGCTGTAAGGAGAGCCTAGGGTGGGGCTGAGGCCTGTGGAAAGGGAAGTGGGTGGGGCAGGAGGCTGCACTCAGGGCCGGGAGGGGACTTGAATCAGGAACTCCAGGCTCTGCCTCCCAGAAAACCCAGTATCCTGGCAGCCTGAGCAATGGGAACAGAGACAAGGAGTGCTTCACTGTGGACCACACTTCTCCAGCCTGACTTGGGAGTTAGTTGGGAGCTCTAAACTATGAGAATGAATCATTTTTCACTTACAAAAAAAGCTAAGAGCATTTCTGTCCTGCTGTCCTACAGCTGTTCCAAGGACTGTGAAGTGAAAGGCATCTAGTCTGATTTGTACCCACTGCTTCTCCTTCATGGGATACGGCAAGTTGAGGGGTGACCGCACACATAGCTAGAATTGAGACAATTTAAGGGTGTAGAAATAAATATCTTTTGCAAGACAGACATGGGCGTCTATGTGACAGAGGCTGTTTTAAGTGTGCCTTCCAAAGTTCATTTCTTGGAAATTCTATCCCCATGGAACAGTACTGGGAGATCCGGATAACAAGACGCAGCCAGCGGATCAGTGTCACCCTGGAGACACTGAGGTGTCCCTTCCTTCCCCTCTCCTTCTTCTCTCATCCCATGCCCTTCCCAGATGCCACTGTCATGCCCTCAGCCAGATACTGTTCATCATGGATTGCTGAACATTAAGTATTATCATAGCCATAGGGAGCAGCAAAAGACAATATAAATAGATTTGGTGCTTGGCCCAGACCACCTTCCTCCATTTTTCTTTCTTGGTCCAAGCTCTGTGCCCTTGGCTCCAGGATTATATAAGGCAAGCAAGCCAGGGGTCACAGGGGTTCCTCTGACCTCAGAGAGTGGTTCAAATAATAAGGGCCTTTTCTAGGTCCTCCAGAAAACAGAGGCTGTGGCAAAGGCCTGTGTTCAAGACCTTGCTGGGGAGAGTGCTTTCAGAATTATAACTGAGGAGTCGGAGTGGGGAGGCAAGAAACAATAAGAGATAGTTGGTGTGAGGTTGGTCCTCAAGGTGGCTACCACCCTGATCTAAGAAGCTTGGGACCAGAAGGATTTCGTTTTCAGCTTATATTTTAGTTTGGAATATTTACATATGAGATATCTTAGGTAAACAAGTCATATATATGTATGAAACTCATGCTTCACATTTACATTAAATATACATCCAGAAAATAATTTTATGCACATTTTTAATATTTTGTGTATGAAAGTTCCCTGGTGTGGAATTTCCCACTTGTAGCATCATGTTGGTACTCACAAAGTTTGGATTTCAGGAACACTTAACCTTATAAAGTTCATTAGCCCATCTTTCAAGGGCCCACATGTGTTAGTTGGCTCTTTATTGCTGTGAGAACTATCTGAAAGGAGAAAAAATTATGTTGCCCAGAGTTTCAGAGAATTCCTCCTATGTTTGGATGACACATTGCTTTGGATCCAAGAGGAGGCAGAAATGGGGCAGCCAGAGCTTGGTGGAGAAAAGCAGCTTGCCTCACCACAACCAACAAGTGATGGAAGTCAGCAGGAAGGGCCAGAAAACAGGCACATCCTCTGTCTTTGTCACTTTTCTATTTCTGTGAAAGGACACAATACCAAAGCAAATTAAAAAAAATAAAGTATTTAATTGGGATCTCACAGTTGCAGAGGGTTAGAGTCTATGTTAGCAGGCTGGCATGGTGCTGAACAAGAGCTGAGAGCTTATATCTCGAAACAACAACCATGAGGCAGAGACAGAAAGACGAAAATAGAGCAATAGAGAGACACACAGAGAATGTACTATCTGGCAATGTGATGGGCTTTTGAAACTCAATGCCATCCTCCAGCCACACATCTCCTCCAACAAGGCCACACCTTCTAACACTTCCAAACAGTTCCATTGTCCACAGGTATTTGAATATACAAGCCTATTGGGGTCATTCCCATTCAAACCATCACACCCTTCAAAGGCAAGTCTCCAGTGACTCCTGGTCCTCAAACTAGCTCCACTTCTCAGTCTACTCAAATCGAGACTCTATCAATGGAATAGATCATTCATCAGGTCAAAGCCCTTATGGTCTACTCATCTCTGGAAGGCCTTCATAGACACACGCAAAGCATGCTTTATTAATTTCCTATGAATCTCTCAATCCAATAAAAATAACAACTAAAATCCTCTGTCATACTACCTGAATGACTGCCAGAAGAAAGAGAGAGAATTGACCAAAGAAAGAGAGAGAATTGACCGTCAGCCCTTGGTGGTAAAATCTCATGAGTGTTAACTCTCTGTGTGACAAGGCTCCCAGAGCAGCTTAGCCCTCAATACCAGAAGACAAATACCGTGCAGCAGAAGGCCATGGACACTGACACATATCCATGTGAAGACGGCCAGTGCCCACAGAGCCAAGGCTGGGCTGGCACCAGAAGGCGCAATCCTTCCCCCACTCCCCTGCAAACACACAAGTGAGGCCGGCCGAGGGAATCAAAAGCAGCAACTGAGAGGGTCTGTTTCCTTGTCTAGTCAGCATGAGAAGCTGGGGCTAGGTCAGAACAGATGACACAGTCTTGCAGGCCCTTGGTGGGGACGCTTCTGTCAACACCATGCCCCTGGCTTTGGCTTTCAGCGTTGACTCACGGGGAGCTGTGAAAGCTCCCCAGGCCTTGCCGATGCTGCTCATGATACGGCAAGGGGTTTCCTTTGACCCGAAGGACAGCGCTCTTCGGTCATCTCTCAAACTCCATCCTGTTGAGGGTAGGGTGCCTAGATTCAGCTAATCAAGATCCTTTTACACCGTGGATGCGCTTCTCCTTACCTCTGAGTCAATTTCATCTCTCTTTGGGACCGCACAAGTGAACTGGTTTGAAGTATCGGACCAGCTATTGAACGCGATGCTCAGGTGAGAATGGGGCTACCTGTCCCATGCTGGGGGGGTTTTTCTGCCTTGGTTCAGGCCACCCTCAAATTGGCACTTAAAGCATAACTTGGTTGCAGGGAAATACTTAGGACTTGGCAGGAGTGAGGCTTTGAGGAGACCGGGGTAGGGAAAGTCAATGACAGGTACGTTCTGTCTCACCGCTGCTGTGGGTAGCTGAGGCTCAGTACTACTGCCGAGGACTCTGAAGAATTGTGTAGACAGGACCTCAGAGGTACCCCACGAATGTGAGACACTTATCCACTCAACTCTCACCTGCCATTGAGTCCCTCACACCTTCAACATAAACCTAGCTGAGGAGCCAAGTAAGCTTCTGGGGGTGAGTGGCAGGAATGGGAGGGGCTAACCCTGATGAGTGAGGAGATGAGAGGCACCTGGTGCCCTAGCAGTTGGGATTTAGATAGGAAATTGGATGTGGGCTTGGTAAAGAGTTTATATGAGACTCACCCTGAGCTTCCACTGTGCTGGTCTTCAGAGCTGCTGGTGTCAATTCCATTCTGTCTACTCCTCTGCACCAGAGACAATGCCACATGGGAAAATCACAAGCCAGGGCCTTGTCTGGGGCTTTCAAGCTTTTCCAAGTCAGACCTTCCATCACAACTTAAAATATAGCGGCTATGAATATAGCATACTTGCAAATGACAAGGTTTGGTTTGCTAGTGCTGTCACACAAGGTCCCCAGAGGAGGTGGCACAAGCAACAGAAATTCACTTCCTCACAATTGTGAGTGCTACACATCACAATTAAGAGTTAATTTTCCCTCCACTTGCAGGTCCCTGTTCCCTCTGCTCGGATCCCTCATGTGCTCCTGGGCCTTAACCTGATCTACACCTCTTACAAGGACAGAGACTATGCTGGGTTACAGCCTCCGTGGCCTCATTTTACCTCAAAGACCCTCATCTTGGAGAGAAGGCTCACTGGCTAGGAGGCCACTGCTCCTGCAGAGGGCCCAAGTCTGCTTCCCAGCCCCTACACGGACAGAAGGCTCACAACTTCCTGTAACTCCAGCTCCAGGGGGATCCATCAGACTCTGTATAATTTCTGAGGTGTTGGGGGTTAGTGCTTCAACATCTGAGCAATTGTTGTGTAACATAAAGCACACTACAACAAACAGAATGATGGAACTAAGAAAACAGCATTACACACTGCAGCTCACAGAGCTGCAACAAGGGGCGTGTTCCAGATTGTTTTCTGTTGCTGTGCTAAAACACTGTCCAGACCAGCTTGGGGGAGGATGGAGTTCGCTTGGCTCACACTTCCAGGTCACAGTCCTTCAGAGGGAAGTCAGGGCAGGAATTCAAGCAGGAGCCTGGAGGCAGGAACTGAAGCAAAGGCCATGGAGGAGTGCTGCTTGCTGGCTTGCCTCCTGCCTCTGTTCACTAGCTCTTTACAACAATTCAGGCCCACCCGACATAAAAAAAAAAAAAAAAAGGCCCCACACACATACCCATAGCTCAACCTGAGGTAAACAGTATGTCAGCTGAAGTGCCTTCTAGGTTGACAATCAAAGAAGCCATCACAGGAACAAAGAAAGATCTCCTGTCTCCTCTGCTCTCTCCAGGGCTGAGGTATGAACCTTGTTGGACAGGGCATGGCTGAGGCTTAGTAGATGTCCAGTGGAACTTGCTAGAAGTTCCTTCTCTGGAATATTACGGCAACTGAGACTGTAACTGCCAGACAGAGTTGGTTTTGGGGAGGGGCCTCTGCTAGGAAAAGCACTCTTGTAGGGTACAAGGGAAGGTACTGACTGCAGAGAGCTTGAAGGGCACAAGGGAATTTCCACAGAACAAACAGAATGCATCTGGAGTTGAGAGGCAACCATGAATTCCTCCTGTAGGAAAAGAAGGGATTCTGCCTTGGCCCTGGGCTTCCCACACACCTCCTCTGGCAGAAGGCTGTTGGCATCTCAGCAGGGGCCTGAGTTTGGGTCTGGAGCTGGGTACAGACAACTGTACTTCTGCAAATCGTGAGGCACCTATATAGTCTGGCCAGAGATGTCTTGTATTAGATGGAGAACAGTTACTATGGCACCTCTGAGGGGTGAGGAGGGGCAGGTGTGCCCTGCAGATAGGGATGGGAACTTACTGGCAGCTTAGCTACCATAGAAAGCTGGAGACAAAGTCTAGAGAGCCGAGGCCAACAGCAGGTATGGAGCCAGCCCCAGGGAAACCACCTGATAGATAAGGCTGGTGAAGGTCTTAGGAGGGAAAAGACACCAGTCCACGCCCTCAGTACAGACCATAGTGTAGAACAATTAAATGGCTGAGAACTGGGTTGTAACTCAGTGGAGATGTCTTCCCTCCAAAGCCCCATAACACTGCCACTACAGTAAATAAATAA